AGGGCAGCCATTTTGAATTCTGTTCTCACCGCACCGACACCTCCAACTGCCTCGTGGCACACCAGTGTTCCCCGTGCTAGGGGATTGTCGGTCCCCGACCGGCCTGTTTCTTGACCCTTCTCTCCACAGTTCCGGGTGTTGTTCGGAAATCTCGTGGCTCTCTTCTGGTTTGCCTACCTGGCGTCCATCAAGAAGCGGTAGCGTCGGAGGGGGCGTTCTGGGAAGGTATGACTTCCCCCGCGTCAATCTGAGCGGAGCTGCAGGAATTGACCCTATCGCAAATTCTCTGTGATTCTCCACTCTGCACGCTGCCTTAACGACCGACGGTGCCTAGCGCAAGAAGCGGGGGACGGATCCCTGACCAGGTGCGCTGGGTGCCCCTGGGAGCCAGAGCACACGTTGATTCTTTTCCGATTAAAACCTCCGATAGCGGCTTTCTAATGGTGCTTCACAAAATCAACAGGTAGGGTAAGAAATCAGTGCAACACTGGGGTTTGTACTCTCCGGATAATAAAAACCTGCTGTTTCATTCCTTTCTCGTGACGTTTTATTTGGACTCTGAGTGGCTGGGGACGTGGAAGCAGATCCGTGCAGAGGTGGGTGCTTTCGAGTTGCCGGAAGGAATAAGATAAATGTTATATGTGAGAGGGAAAGCGAGTCGGATATAAAAAAGGCCCATTTGCTTCATGTGGATTTTGCTTGGGTCTTTACTGACTATCGTGGCCAGCTACTCAACATGTGAACATTAAGGGTACGCTTAGACGACAGACTTTTGTTGCCGGAAGTTTTGTCGACAGATACTGTCGACAAAGCTTCTGTCGACAAAGAGCGTCTAGACTACAGCCAGTTCCGTCGACAAAGCAAGCCGCTTTGTTGACATGAGAGTGTAGACGCAAAGGAGAGTGTAACTGCAATAACACATTCTATCGACAGAACTCTGTCGACAAAAGGCGTTATTCCTCGTAGAATGAGATTTACTGCCGTCGACAAAACTGCTGAGTTCTGTCGACGTTATGTTGACAGAAGTCAGCGGCCGTGTAGACGTAGGTATAGTTTTGTCAACAAAAGTGCACTTTTGAGGTTTACTGCCGTCAACACCAAACAATTTTATGAGGAACACCACGGATTTTTTGCTAAGGGCGTTCATTCTGAACTCTGTTGCTCTCTGTGACAGACCTCCAACCCGTGTGCCACGGAACACGATTTAAGAAACAGTAGTTTAGACGTAGCCTTATTCCAAATCATGCTGCCATGTAGATGTACCCTTAGGGTGAGTCTAGACTACAGGGTTTTGTCGACAAAAGTGCACTTTTGTCGACAAAACCCTGTAGTCTAGACTCACCCTAAGGGTACATCTACATGGCAGCATGATTTGGAATAAGGCTACGTCTAAACTACTGTTTCTTAAATCGTGTTCCGTGGCACACGGGTTGGAGGTCTGTCACAGAGAGCAACAGAGTTCAGAATGAACGCCCTTAGCAAAAAATCCGTGGTGTTCCTCATAAAATTGTTTGGTGTTCCTTGGTCTTAAAAAGTTGAAGAAACACAGGTCTAGACTGCAGTGTTTTTCCAGGATCCTGGAAAAGCAATGTGGCGTCCAAGGAACACATCCGCTTTCCCGAAAAAAATTTCGGAAAAACGGACACGCTTTTCCACCATTCCTGTGAACCTCGTTCTACAAGGTATGAGGGATGTGTGTCAAAGAGCAGATTCTTCCGAAATGTGGTGCTATGTAGACGCGCCACATTTCGGAAAAGTCTCTTTCGACAGAAAAGTGGGGAAAGATTCGCAATTTGTGTATCTTGTTCCGACTTTCCTTTGTAGTCTGACTTTCCTTTGTATCTGACGCTTGAGGGGGTAGCCGAGTTAGTCTGCATAGCAGTGTTTCTTAAAGTGTGTTCTGCGGCAGTCGGAGGTGTGCCACGGAGGGAACAGAATTCAAAATGGATCCCCTTAAAGGGGCAACAACTTTTCTCTGCGGAATGGCCGCCCTTAAAGGGGCAAGCCTCTTTTTTTTTTTCAACTTTTTCCATAAAAAAATTATGGTTTGGTGTTCTCGGTCTTAAAACGTTTAAGAAACACTGCTGTACAGGATAAACTTAAAAAAGCGACAAATGGTTTCGTAGCACTTTATAGACTAAAAAAATATATAGATGGTATCATGAGCTTTCGTGGGCACAGCCCACGTCTTCAGACGACTGGAGTTTTCCTTTGTATGACTTTCCTAGACGTCGTCTAACTGATGTTATTCCGAATAACATAGGGCGTGTCTGCACTGCAGGTAGTTACTTAGACATAATGTCGAAATACTGTCGAGGAAGAGGACTTCTTTGACTCCTGTGATTCTCATTTTACGGGGAGCAAGGGAAGTCAAAGGAAGAGTAGACTGCCTTCAACTTCCTGCTGTGTAGACAGTGCCAAAAGTCGAAATAAGCTGTTTCGACGTCAGCTACGCAGTTGATGTTGCTGAAGTGGCGTAGCTTATTTCGGCTTTAGCCCTGCTGTGTAGATGTGTCCTAAGGGGGAAGGAACGCAAGCCAAACACATCTAGGCTACATCTAGACTGCAGGTTTCTTTCGGAAGAAGCTTTTCCGGAAGAGACCTTCTGAAAAATCTTTTTTCCGAAAGAGCGCGTCCGTGCTGCCAAAGGGCATTGAAAAAGTGATCTGCTTTTTCGAAAGAGAGCTTCCACACTGAATGGACGCTTTCTCACATTTATACTTTGATTACTGTGGGTGGAGCGACGACCAGGATACCTGTGCTCTTTCCTCTTCTTCCGAAAGAACTCCCTCTTCCCCGTCCACACGTGCCATTTTCCAAATGAGCTCTTTCGGAAAAAGGCTTCTTGTAGAAAGAGGATCGTCCACATCAGAAAACTCCCTGTTGTTTTGATTTTCTTTCAAAAGAACGTGAGTGCAGTGTGGACAGAATTGAAGTTTTTTCGGAAAAAACTCTGTAGTGTAGACATACCCTTAGATACATTAGATCAGCGGTTCCCAACCTTTCTGAGCCTAGGGACCCATTTTTCAATTTATTACATTTTCATGGACCTCTCCCTGGTCCCTGCAGGAGTGAGAAAGGAGGGGGGAAAAAGAAAAGAGAGAAAAAGAGAAGATAGAGAGAGCGAGAGAGAAAAGAAAAAAGTGAGAGAGAAAAAGGAGAGAGAGAGAGGAAAAAAGAGAGAGAAAAGAAAAAAGCGAGAGAAAAGGAGAGAGAGAGAGAAAAGAAAAAAGCGAGAGAGAAAAGGAGAGAGAAAAAGAGAGAAAAGAAAAACGAGGGAGGAAAGAGAAAAATAAAAGAGAGAAACAGAGAAAAGAAAAAAACGAGATAAAAGAGAAAAAGAAAGGAAAGAGAAGAAAAAATGAGAGGAAAAAAAAGAAGAGAGAGAAGAAAAAAATGAGAGAGAAAAAAGTAAAAGAAAAGAGAGAGAGAAGAAAAAAACGAGAGAGAAAAAGAAAAAGAAAAGAAAGAGAAAAGAAAAACATGAGAGAAAAAAGAAAGAAAAGAGAGAAAAGGAGAGAGAGAGAACTAGAGTAAAGGAAAAAGTGAGAGAAAAAGATGAGAGAGGGAAGCAAGAATAAAGAAAGAGAGAAAAAGAGAAATGTATTCCAGTGCTTAACCACCCGGACAGTTAGGGCGTGTTTTCTGATGTCTAACCTCAACCTCCCTTGCTGCAATTTAAGCCCATTGCTTCTTGTTGGATCCTCAGAGGCCAAGGAGAATAATTTTCTCCCTCCTCCTTGTAACACCCTTTAGGTACTTGAAAACTGCTCTCATGTCCCCTCTCGGTCTCCTCTTTTCCAAATTAAACCCAATTATTTCCGTCTTCTCTCATAGCTCATGTCTGCTAGGCCTTGAAGCATTTTGGTTGCTCTTCTCGGCACCTTCTCCAATTTCTCCCTCGCTTTCCTAAAATGCGGTGCCCAGAACGGGCCACAAAATCGTTAGCTGTTAGTGTTAAGACCTCCTGGACGATGAGTGAGGTGCTGGAGGACTGGAGAAGGCATAGAACAGATTGAACCTCTTTAATCCGGCACGCTGTGGTCTGGCAACCTCCGTGGTCCGGCACGATTTGAGTTAGCCGGATGTCCACTTATTGTGGGTGTGGCCAAGTTTCTGGCGGTCCTGTAAAGTTTGTGTACAGCTTTCTTCGTGTTCTGTGGTGTTTTTTAGCTCAAATTTCCCCGTAAATGTCTTCTAAGAACCTTCCGGAGCTAGGGCAGGAAGAAGGCTGCTTAACCATGGGCACTTGTGCTCCTGTACTGGGCTTATAATAGTCTAGTCTTCAGTGCCAAGGTCCCTCCTCATCTGGGTTCTCCAGTCGAAAACCAGACGCCCGGTAATAGGTCGTTTCCTTTCATCTTCTCAGGGCCTCCCTACGGAGAGTTGCCGGTAAGTACCGACCCCCACGTCTCTTGGAGCGCTCAAGGCGATGGAGGGGCTGTGGATCTTCCTTGAGACACCCTGAGCAGGACTGAAGAGGAGACACGCCCCACCTATGGCCCGGAAGCTGGACCGGGCCCCCTGGTGGTGTTTGTCGAGGGATAGCCTTTTCCACGTCCTGAGGCTGGAAAATAGCCAGCCGTCGTTTTCAGCGGCTGCCGCGGTCACCCTTGCCATGCCGCCAGGGCCCTGCCGTTGCCAAGGAAGCTGTGTAAGAACAAGCCGGGCCTAGTTCTTCCCCCTCAGCCTCCATTCCGGAAGGTTCCTCAGCCCAGCCTCCATTCCGGAAGGTTCCTCAGCCTGCCCTCTTCCTCATTCAGCCTGGGGCCGCTGAGGTGGTCTCGCCCGCCGCTCGGAGCGTCTCCCCGTCCGGGCAACAGCTGAGGCCGCCTCAGCCCCCAGCCTTTGGGCTCGGAAATTTCCGCTGGCGTCCGGCCAACGTGTCAGAGCTGTGAGCCGGCCCCAGTGTGTCAGGACTGGGTTGTCCACCTCATGGCTGCTTCTCCACCACCCTGTGGGGCACCAGGCTGATTCCCACAGGCCCAGAGGGCAGCTGTGGGTCCCAGCCCCATTGCAGGTGCCTCCTCTTGGTGACTCAGCCGCCGGCCCGGTTGCTAGTCCCCTTCTGTGGTGTCCTCCGCCCCGGCGTAGGCCCAGAGACCCTCCAACGCACAGTCCCCTCTCTAGCTGCTCCTGACTCTCAGTCCTATGAGCACTGTTCTCTACCCTGTTCTGTTCGGGGTCCCCCCATCCCTCCAGGCTAGGACCCACAAACCTCCTCCCGGCTACCAGCTCCGGCCCAGTTCTTCTCGGGTCTAATCAAGGCTCCTCGTTGCTGCTTAATTGGCGGACTAGGCCTGTTTCTGCCCTCTCAGCACCGGGGGTGGGAGGCAGACCCCCCCCACCATATGCCCCCATTTTACAGATGGGTGGTACGGAGAACAGAGGCTCTTCTGGGTTAGCTCTATGCCGAGGTGGAAGTGGGCTGGTGAGAATTTGGCCCACCCGTGGCCAAATTTGCTGCCCCTGTTGGTGGGGACACCAGCAATGCCTCAGCTGGCCCCTGCCGGCAGGAGGGAGCAAAAGGAGCAGC